TAGTAGCTTTGCTGTGGACTTTCAATGACTCGACGACTCTACAAAGATACGTTTTCGTACCTCTACGGAAACTGGAACCTCTTCGAAATTGTGAGCAAGAAAAATGAGGGCTCTAACGGTATGGCGCACCTCCTCGAATAACTCTTTGATCGTTCCACAAGACTCCAACTGTTTAAGTGACATTTTTTGAATTCGACACTGTGTTGGTTACTGTACAGTTTGGCGAATCTTGTGTGGAAATATTGTACTATAGTTAGCCTGTAACCGCACTTTTTCCATACCCAAAATCTGGGAGACCCCACTCCCAAAATCTGGGAGACCCCACTCCCAGATTCTGGGACTCCGAGCGTTAAAAGTTGAGCACACACGACATCTATCTCCACTTAACAGATTGGCTTGATCGGCTCGAAATATTTGTCGCGTATGTCGGTCGCGTGTTACGGATACCGGTAGGATCGGCTTAAATCTTATGTACGAGTAGAGCTTGTATTAGCATTTGGCCACGAGGCTACCGATACCCTAGTAGGCCTATTTTTTAAAATAACTCCAACAGCTCTACCCATCGCGAATAGGTCGCGAATTTACCATCACTTTCCTTTGGGGCTATTTTAAAATACCGAAACATGTACCGAACCAGTACCGGGACCGTCCGACGGTTTTCGCTCAGGCCAGGGCTCCACGACTTAACAACGACTACAAGTGTATTCCTTCAACCGTCAACCACACAACCACACCTTCTCTTTCCGGACTCTAGGTACGTGTAGCTAGTAGACCTGAGACGCGACTCGACTCCACGCGACTGACAACGAGAACTACAGAATTCATGTACGCAGTGATGCGTGCATCGCGTGCCGGTACCGTACGGTACCAATAGTGGTACTACCGCTATCCACACATCCACACGGCACCAGGAAAACTGGAACGCAATTTTTTCCTGGCACTGTTATTACCACCAAGCTCCACCATGACCGGGACACAACACCCCTCTGCGCATGGAGTCGAGACAAGTCTACTTGGTGGTACTCTAGAGTTAACTGGCTAGCCTGTGCCTTCATGATTCCAGTCAAGACGTTCAGACAAGCTTTCAGACAGCTGTCCAGACAGATGCTTGCTCGGTGCATGCAGGAGCCACAGCAAAGTACTCTATACAGTTCGTCCTGGGGGCCACGACTTCTTCTCCGATGCACTCTTTTTTGGAGTAGCGAACCGGGCTCGAGATTCGGGAAGGGACTCGGAAGTCTTGGCAATGTTGTCGACGTCCACATCCACCTCGGGAATCCAACAGACTCTCCAGCACTCAAACGTAGTTAAAATACCAAAGGCGGGTTTCACACCATAGAAGTTTGGGAGCTGCATTCGAGAATCATACAGCTCTCCCAGGACAGTAGGCTTATCCAAAACACTCTCGCCATTGGAGTATCCCATCCTTCCGTCTTCTTCTGGCTTTTAAACCCCGATAACACCAACAGGAATCATATTTCAGGTTACAACCCACTCGTCTGGACGCAACCCAAAAGCACCAATCTCCGTGAACGTTTCAAAATCTATCCCCATAGCTTTGCTGATATCTTTCACGAGGCCGCTAACGAGAAAGGCTACGTCGTTCTCGCTTGCATAGGAGACGTAACCAGTCTCAGTCTCATCATCATATTTGAAGTCATCCCAACAGCGCGACCGGTTGTGAAGTATTTTTCGGAAGTCCTCATTACACAGGACCCCAAAATTCATCTCGGTGGCCTCTACCGGTGCATGGTCCTCTGCTTTTGGTACGGAAGGTGGCGATAAACTGATGTTTTGCAACAAAGGCGGGATACCATCTTCCAAAGTCTTTGCTTGCCGCTTCAGCTGCCGCTCCGGTGGACCCAGTCTGTACTTTCCGCCATCAACGAGAGAGTCAAACCCTCCGACCTCATCTCCGTCGTTGCCAAGCAAGCTCTGAACCCCTCGACTTTCAAGCAAAAATCTAAGGCCATCATTACTACTCCAGTACTCAGTTTCGCACCAACACCATCTACGGTAATCCTCTTGGTCGGTCGTCATGGTTTTAAACACAATATTAATAGCTGCGCAGCAACCTTGAGCGGAAAAGTTGCCGCTTGATGTTGCGGTCTCGCAGTTCACACCGTGATTCCGTGATGCTCGAGCGGCCATTCGTCCAGACCCTTTGCGATGTATTCAATCGAATGATCGAACTGAAAATTCGGGTGATTAGTCCAACAACACAGCCCAATTTTACGTAGATGTACACTCTCAATGACGTCATTGGCGCCCGATAACCAGAGATCGGCTGTTGGCGCCGAGCGAGAAAAACTATCGTACCATAGCACCGAAAGCTCGTTGTGCATCATCTGATCTATCGGTTTCCAGGACAACGCCATCGATCTCATTCATCATTTTCTTCTTTTGCTTTGGCATCTGGTTGTCCTTCGCTGAATCGTTTTCGAACTCGGATCTTTCTTTCAACAGAGCAAGAACACAAGTGGATCAGCATTCCAAAAACGGTTTCAAGATGCAGCAGCATCAATCCGACGAGACCCAGTCCAACGGCGAATCGTTGCATCGAGTGGCAGGCAAGAAAGGATATGTATCCTCCCGTGGAGCCTCCAATTTGGCGCTTCCCATGCCGTATCTTGCCGACTTTTTCACTTGCTTGGAAGATACGTGTGATGCCAAGACCAATCCCAAGGGATACATTCCAGTGGCCGTGGCCGAAAATCGACTGGTGACGGACATCCTGCAGACTCGTCTCAAAACTCTGCAAACGGCACAAGCTGGATACACAGATCGCGATGCCTACTCCTACAATTCCCCCATTGGTTTGCCCGTTCTGCGAGAAGCCGTGGCCAAAATATTGCAAGAGCGATTTCTTTCGCCGCAACAACAACAGCAGCAATCTGCTTCTACCACCAGCACTATCAATAAGGACCATATCGGCATTGGTGCAGGAGCTATCAGTGTCTTGAGCAATCTATTCTTTGCTCTGGGTAGTCCCAAAGATGCTGTATTAATTCCGGCACCGTACTATGCAGGTATGTACCGTATGTTCCACACCGCTCAGGAATGAATATCAAGTACCTCATTTATTTCCCTTTCTCACCCTTACTGTTGTGCTTTGACGTGCGTTCGCACCGGTCCAGCTTTTGACAATGATGTTCGAGCTTACGCCGGTTGTGTCGCCGTACCGGTCGTTTGCGACAACCCTGCCAAAGGCCCCTCTCCAAAGGATCTAGAACAGGCACGAAAGCATGCCGTAGAAAAATTGGGGTTGAATGTAAGATTCCTACTCTTGACACATCCACACAATCCACTGGGAGTGGTCTATGAGCCCGCCGTTATGAAACAAGCTATTGACTGGGCCCGATCAAACAAGATGGATACAGTGGTGGATGAAATCTATGCGCTCTCTGTGTTTGACGATTCTGATTCATGTGATTTTCAGTCGATCCTCCAAATACTCGACAATGATCTGGGAGTTGACGTGCATATGGTCTGGGGTCTCTCCAAGGTGAGTTTTGGACTGTAGTGTAGGGACTGAAAGGACATGTCGTTATTCTGTGCTGACAGTACCTTCTGTTTGGTTGTTAAGGACTTTGGTGCCTCTGGGTTTCGAATAGGCGTCGTATACACACAAAATGAATTGTTGATTGAAGCATTAGGCAACTTGTTCACCTTTGCTTGGGTTTCGCAGCCGGTCCAATTCATGATGGCTGATTTACTAAACGACAAACCCTTTGTGGACGACTTTTTGGCACAAGCTTGTCAACGGCTCAAACACAGCTATGAACTTTGCACTCGAGTCTTGTCCGAGCTGGAGATTCCCTTTGTAAAGGCCCACGCCGCCATGTTTGTCTATTTGGACTTGTCCGAGCTCATTTCAACCGTAGAGCAAGAAGAGCAATTTGGCAAAGTCGTCATGAAACGGGCTCGAATGGTCCTGACACCAGGAACAACCCAACACGATCCAAAACCTGGCGGATTTAGAATCTGCTATGCCTACGTGCCTGCAGATGTGCTGGAGATTGGCATGGAACGATTACGCAAGGTTGTCACAACAATTCGCAAGCAAGGAGGGTTGGGAGACTGGGTTGATGATGATTCACATTGGCAAGACATTCTGTGATTTGATTTTGAAACTACTGAGTCATCACTCGAGGCTGACATTTTTGATGAAAATTGTTTTTACATTACAACCGTATCATAGTAATATGGAGATCCCAGTAGGATCGGCCGATTCGGCGTCATTAAATTGTTGGAGTACAGTATAAGGAGAATACACAGAGCTCTCCCATTCAGTTCTGATGTGAGACGATGGGTGGTCGCCTATATTCTCGATAAATCGTCTCGTTTTGCTTTGCTCACTCTTGCAACAAAGAGACGATCGGATTTTCTCGGGCTACCGCGGCGCTCAAGGCTGGATGGTCTCCAGTTGTTTCGCCCAACCCATGGAATCAGAATCGCTGATTTTCTCTGCATCGGGAAGTACAATGTTCTGCCTCTTGTAAGTGTATGCCTTTCCATGGACGCCGTAATCGTTGACTACATGTGGATCGACAAGACTGGCCTGCACCAAGCCCAACAGTCGAGCAATTGATGCGCACCATGTATTGTACCAAAAGGAATAGGTCATGGTATCCCACCAAGTCGCAGGTTCAACCAAGGCAAAGATGGTGCTGTCTTTGGGGCTGATAGTGGACAACAGCCATGACAATTGTTGTTGGGTTGCTGGTTTCGCAAAAGCACCTGATTCCAAGAGAAGGAGGATTTTGGCAGCTCCCTTTACCTTTGGGTACTGTGATACAAAGTCGTCAATCAAGTTGTCGGGTTTGTTGATTTTGTGCAGCCACACATCCACCTTGGAAGGGTTCCAGCAAGCAGTGGTTTTGTTGGAACTATCGAGCAACTCAGAGAGATTCGCACTTGGATGGTACCATAACTTGGTGTTGCCAGTTTCCAAACGGAGAGTTTCTGCCATGGTTTCTTCCTCATGCGATAACTCTTCTTGCTCCGTCAGAACAATGACACTGTGGCCGAGATCCAAAAAGTGAGCCAGAATGTCTCGGTGACAAGTGCCAGTTACCACCACAGTTTTGCACTCATTGTCATAGTCCTTGGGGAGATACGTCAACAAAGTGTCAACCATAGTGTGATCCTTCAGTTCCAGCGATAGTTCCATCGGCGTCTGGCCCTCCCAAGAACCCTCCAAAGTCGGGTCGGCTTGGTTGGGTTTGTGCTCCAACAAAACCTTGGCTGCTTCATGATTGCCTGCCCGAATGGCTTCCAACAGTGGAGTTGTCATAAACTCTGGATGTTGGTAGTTGGGATCAATACCTCGATCCAAATGGTAGTGGACAACTGTCAAGTCGCCACCTCCAGGTTTGCTGGCTGCACCCACAAGCTCTTTCCAGTTGCCTCCATCCGTCGTCATGTTGTATGTACCGTTGATGATGATCGGATTGCAGATGTTTCAATTGAGAAAACAATGAGCAGAAGCATAGATTGGTCTTCAGGACTGGACCTGTAGATACCAAAGTCAATGATCTCGAGATGACGTTGATTTCATTGGTGACCTTTTTCGAAGAGGGAGCTTGGCATCATCACCTATCCACGATTGAAATATCTTACATTGTTCCCCCTGGTTCCGGAATCTTGTACAGGTACGCTGTACCGTACCAGTACCTGGTACCGGTGTCTGTGGATGGCCAATCCCAAGCAACTCTGGGCAGTGCTATCCACAACCCCGACTTTCTTGGCGACGTTCCCTCCTCAAGGGCTCACTTGGTTCCCGATTCAGAATGCAAAAATGCATTTGGTGTGTGTTGCCAAGCCGTCTGCGGCGTGACTTTTTCTGAGGTTCCCCAGTGGAAGAAGTTGGCAGACGGATTGATGCACTCGAAGACAAACCTTCTCAGGGCTCGTGCCGTCCACGGAGAGTGTTGCGACACTAAACCCTGCTGGATTTTTGTTCCGATTTGCACGGATGATACGTTGATGAACTGGACAGAATGCCAAGGCTACGATGTTCTGGCCATAGCGGGAGATTGACAGTCTACGGGTGTTCCCATTTCAAACGAAACTTCCTATAGATCTTTGTGTACGAAGATGTATCGCGATGACGAGGAGAAGAACCCGAAGAAGTGCGAACCGGATGATATCAGAACAGCGACACGAAACCTTAGTAACATGGTGTTGGCTTTGGCAGACACCTTGATGGACAAAAAGGGACTCTCAGTTGTTGACCTTTTTGAACAAAGCGAACTTGCAAAGCGAAAGGGAAAGGGAAATTCGCAAGCAGAGGATAAGAGGTTGGGGGTACTCAAGGATGCAAAAAAAGAGATCGAAAAGGATGGTGTCTTTGTCCCAGTTCTAGTGAGTGATGCTAGCGAACATCTTGAATCATTGAAAGTTGTCAAGTTTACCATCGATGCATCGGAAACGGACTTAGTTCCTGATCCAATGTTACTTCTTATCAAGGCTGCCATCAATTGGTCTTGGCGCTGTGGCCAAAAGCTTCTTCCAGCATGCGGCAGTGTCCAAAGTGAAGGAGAGGACGCGGAATTGACTGTTTCCACACCACCTTGTATCGTGGTGATTGGGCCTAAGCCTGTGCCTGTCACGCCAGTCTCGGAAGATGACTGGGAGCATTTAGTATGAGGAAGATGAAAGCTATGAAGTTCATGAATACAGCCAATCCCAACCCTAATCACCAACATTAATCAAAGCGAGCATTAGGAAGTGTGTTGTCTCTCAGTCCAATATTGTTGTGGATGGCAGCATGTCACAATGATGCTTCCCCAAGCGACGATCACTCAGTGCTGACCTCCAAATTTGTAGGGCCTCCCTGTGCATTTTCAATGCCTCATCATAGTCACTTTGGATTTCAGGAAAAGTCCAAGGTTGTTGTAGGTTGTGGCAGTAGAATGGTGGCCCTTGCCCAACACTGATAGTTAAGGTTCGAGACCTGCCAATTGCGTTGAGCCACATCAAAGGGCTGAACGTATCACTGCGAAAGAAGCAATAGTAGGTGTTCTGAATTCCCCAAATTCCATAGAAGATGGCGTTGCATAAAGCAATGTTTCTCTTTGCAACTTCTCCGTAGTTCCCAAAATCGCGCACAACAGAGATTTTTGCAGACCAAGGTACATGCAGCCCACGGCATGCCAGTCCTTCCATATTTGTCCAAATTCTCCCAGCGTGTACCTCTCTGAATCACAAAACAAGAAAAGAAACATCGAAGTGGCATGCCAGCTCCAGATCAGCTCGCACAGTGCCAAAGCATAAAAGTTTGCCCACTGCCAGTACAGCATTGTCTGCTAGCTTACGAAAGTTACGATTGATTCACGTGGGTGGGAGATGATCTCCGGCTTCGCCTTGCCGTAAGTGCTGGACTCAATTACGAAGGCTGGGATGGTTGAGGATCGTCCCTTGGCTTGGCAAACTATTACACAAGATGTCCGATGCGATGACGTTTAGAACAGTTGCCCAGGTCAATCTTATGCAAAAGTGTTCGCTTCGAGAAGGTACACTATGTAATCAACACAGCATTGGTCAATAAGGCTTGCAACCTTGCCAAGGATTGGGAATGGTGGACATGATGGGATGGAGGTCTTTGAGCTCGAACCCTAAGAAGATATCTTTTACCCGACTGGCCAGGTTCTCCAAGACTTATACCCTTACCTTGCTATTAAGGTGTCTCTACAGGTATGCAAAAGAATGCTTTAGTACGTGTACAGTCGTACTGGAATGTTTGCAGTATCTCACAAATATTCATACTGAACTTATCTTTAGCTCAGGATCTATCACCAGTGTAGTCTAATGTAAGTACGATAGTATCTTAAAACACTCTGATTAGGGACAATTCTACTCTGCTTCCCACCTTTTAGTAAGCATACCATAACTTTAGAAGGTGAAGAGAGAAAAGATTAGATGATACTGTAATCACCTGCCTGAGACCAAATTTTTGCCAATTGGCACCTGTTTTTTTTAGGGCATTTTGTTGTAGAAAGTATCACGTATTGCTCTACTGTAGCTAGCTACTGGAGTGCAGATCTAACTAATTGTCTTCGGTACACTGTACGGCACCGGTATTTCAAAATAAGCATTCCACAGATCTCAGTACTGGGTACCGGTACCTAACATCTTACAGTAAATTTTGCTTTCTTAATATCAAAGTCAATGTGTAGGAGCCTAAAAGAGCCGTTCAAGTCTTGCCGTTTGTCTGTGGGATTGACGCTGTCCTCATAAAATTGAAGCAGGTGAAATATCAAAGAATCTCAACGAGACAATGGTAAGAGAGAGCCGCTCTTTGGTTGTTTTTGCTATGTGTCGCTGAAGGCTTCTGGTTTCTCACTCCTCCCATCTCTCTTTCCGCCAGGGTCAACTACTTTCTTGCGTCGTCGTGAGCGGGACATGGTGCCTCTGCACCGCCACTGGCAGTCTCTTGACTGCCTGCTGTGGCAATGACAAAAAGTCCACGGAGCCGGTGGGTGCCAACTCGGGGCGCAAACGCTCTGTTCTTCTCATGGTAATCGCCATGATTGTTTCCTTCGTTTTCCAATACTGGGTCGCTTCGGCCGTGGTAGAGTCGTATGAAAAGGACGAGATTGAACTGTCCGTCTCGGCGCTGGCCAAAGAACAAGCCACAAACTTTTTCCAGGATTCCTGGTTGGATGGTTGCACCGAGTATGAGTCTTCCGAACTACGAGAGCGCTGTGTGGGAAATTCTGGGGTCTATCGGGCTGCTTCGGCTGCCACATTGTTCTTTTTGTTGGCTGCCATTGCTGTCAAATGCAAACCCAGCTTCAACCGCGAAGTGTGGCCCGCCAAGTACATTTTGTTTCTCTTTTTGTGTGCTGCGACAATCTTCATCCCAAATGAGCCTGTCTTTTCCGACATTTACTTGAACATTGCACGTGTTGGTGGGGCCTTGTTCATTGTGGTGCAACAAATCATCTTTATTGACATGGCTTTCAACTGGAATGACAGTTGGGTGGAGAAGAGCAACCAAGCCGAAGCAGAAGAAACCGGAGCGGGTAACAAATGGCTGGTTGCCATTTTGGTGGCGGTGGCCATCCTCTTTCTTGGATCTCTCACTGTCATTGGTTTGATGTTTCATTTCTTCGGTGGATGCGCTATCTCCAATGCGTTCATTTCTGTCACTTTGATCCTGTGCATTGTCGTCACGGTGGCTCAAATGACGGGAGAAGAAGGATCACTACTATCCTCAGCTGTCACAACGGCGTATGCCACCTATCTGTGCTTCTCTGCCTTGTCGCGAAACCCTGACGCAACTTGCAATCCGAAACTGGGTGAAGAAGATTTGACGGGCATTGTCCTCGGGGTGGGTATTACCATGATCAGTTTGGGATGGACTGGCTGGAGCTACACTGCTGGAAAAGCATTGGATGTTGAAGACGACCGCAGCGTTGATGGGGCTTCCGCGCCAAACACGACAACCAACACAAAAGATGAAGAACGAAAGGTCACTGGTGTTGTAACTGGTACAAGCAGCTATGGGTCAACAAAGGAAGAAGGCGCAACGGGAGACGCAGCCGATCTGGAAAACTCAGCGGCGGTGTCCTCCAATAGGGGTTTCTCGAACTCTTGGAAACTCAACATGGTCTTGGCTCTTATCAGCTGCTGGTTTGCCATGGCACTGACTTCATGGGGATCCGTAGCCAGTGGAGGAAATTCGGCGAATCCAGAAGTTGGAAAAGTATCAATGTGGATTATGATTGCTTCCCAGTGGTTGTTCATGGCACTGTATTCGTGGTCGCTCGTGGCTCCGCGTCTGTTTCCGGACCGAGACTTCAGCTAGCTTCCTCGTTCGCTGACCTCCTTGCCTCCTGGCTATGTTCCGGTATGTGGTCGAGACGCAGCGACACCACAAAACCAACCTATTCTCTATATAAAAGAGAGCGCATTGCTGGCTGCCCGTGGCTGACTTCGTCGCTCTGTGGTGCGCCCCTTGGCCTCGTGCGATCCGCGACGAACGACACGTGTATGTATACTACCAGCTCATAAACTACAATGTATGTTGTAGAACCTGTTCTGTAGACTTGTCCGTAACAACAACCGCTGAGTGCGAGCATCCAATCCCAACTAGTCTTTCTCTGAGCGTCGCGACGCTTGGGCTTCGGGCACAGTTGCTTTCGCTGCAACGAGGTCCGTCGCGACCCCCGGTAGTCGTTCGCTCTGTCCGCGGCGGGGTGGGTCACAACGGAATGCTGTCCTCACCCTGCCCACGATTATAGAACTCCGCGCATTGCCCTGTGGAGTGCCGAAGAGGAGTTATCGCATGCCGCCAGTGAGAGTGGAGTTGCCTAATCAGTACCGGTACCAGCAAACCGTACCGTACCGGTAGTGGTACTCTCATCAGCAATGTAAGTAGTTCCGTGCCCTCTCGGGCAGCTCGAAATCAGTCGTCTCGTCGGTGGTGGGTGGACCAAAGTATGTTTAAATCATTGACTGAACTACCTCTACCGGACGCTTGAAAACCACAGAGTCTACTTGGTCGTTCATAAGTTTGGACGGTTCATAGCTTGCCAACTGAAAAGAAACCAAATTTAATAGGTCGACTACGTACATGAATTTACCATATAAGCTGTACAATGAGTGTGCCAACAGGGTTCCTGAGGCTGGTTGCAACAGAAACGACACATCCATTGAATCCTGGTTGTAGCGGGCTCCAAGCAGCTAGTACATCAATTTCCGTTGGCAGAAATCGACTGCAGTAGAAAACTTATGCAGAGTGGCGATGAACGTGGCTATTTCAACTCGACGCAGACTCGAGATGTTCCCTCCAAGTAGAATTTGGAATGCTGTGGAGAGTCCCATGGTGGATATCTTGCCATGGAGACGGCATTTGTTGCATTGAACACAGTTCATAATGCGTGCAAGTTCACGTGTCCTCATTCTTGCTTCCCATAGCGATGTTGGGTCCATCATGACATGATTTTCTAGCTTGCTCAGTGCCACCCCAACAGAATTGTCGCTTACAATGGGATCATCGAGGATGTCTCGCAAGGCATCGCTGCTTCCCACAGATCCAACACCCTGCAGCAAAATGGGCTTTGCCTTGGCGGCTGCGGAGAGCAGTAGCATGTAGCCAAAGTAGAGATTCTCGAGGGCTAGTGGATTGTCTCCCTGAGGACCCAGACGTCGAGCGAATTCGGCATCTGGATCTCTCCAAACTTCATCGTCGGAAAATGGCTCGCCGGCATCCACTCGTTCTTGGATACCCCGGGTGACCTGTGCTGAGATCATGGAGTGGAGTCCTGACACTGCCCTGTTGAAGTCGGCTTTCCAGTGCTGGTCACTATAGGCAACTGGAAAACAGATTCTGTTATGGATATACTCCCAGACTTCACGACCATCGTAACCTGTGTATCCTTCGGGGAATGCGGCAACATCATAGTAGTCATCTGTCGGCATGTCCCACCGAGCAAAACCATCAAGCTCAAAGTCGTGCTCTGCAGAGTCTACCATCTTTATCGGGTCTGGAACCTTTGTAGAAAACCCATTAAAAGTCCACAGGTTAGGTTGATATCCTGGTACACTTTTCCATTGGATAGGCCTAAAGATACAAATAGCTTACCTCTTCATCGCCGACTGGGTATATTTCGCAGGTTTCACTATAGCACTCAAACAATTCCTGTGGAATGTACTCGCAGCTACCGAGTATGTCAACGCTGTAGAACTGAAAATACGGATCACCTCGCAAATTCGACAGCTTCTGGTACAGGGTCGGATTGGCGGCATCAATGGCATCAATGCCTGGTTGAAGCTCTCCGTCCCTCGCGAACGCCACTGTAGACATCCAGAGAGGACGAGACGCTCCATGGTGATTCAATCTGCTTGGTTGTGGCTGTAAAAAGCCATCTGCAAAGCTAGTCCATGCGATAGCAAGGCTGATCCAATGGCTCTTCTTCATGGCATCGGTTATTGTTTGGATCTGGTCGGCTAGTTGTGGACTATCCTCTTGTGGATGTCCGTTGTGGCCATCCACTTCAAATCAATAAATTTATGATAATTGGTTAAGCTTTTTCTTACCATACTGACGTTTCCAGCCAACCAGATTGCAGATCTAAGATCTAGATCTAGCATACTAGATGTACGGTACCGGTGTCTAGCTAGAGTACAATAGAACGCCAAAATCTTGGCAGAGTCTGGTAGTAGCTTTATAGTGATCTCTGCGTAAAGAGGCCTACTACTAGCTACCGGTAGGGTATTGGATATGTCTATTGACCCCCGACAATTTTCTAGTAGTCGAGCTGCCGGTCTACCGTATGTCTTGTAGGCGGTGACGAGACGACCAATGTTGTTCCGCCCCTCTCCCCTCCGAGGGAACCGAGGTTCCTGTTAGCTTTGCGGACACCCCAATGGGTTTTGCTTCGCTCCAAGACTGGGCTACTACCGTAGCCATGTGGTGACTAAGAGCTGGAAACGAGGAGGGCATCAGCTCACACCACATGATTTCGTACGTTTCCGGCGCAGCCGATGGATCCGTACCGGTACCGTACGGTGTAAGTAGTGAGGCCATCGTCAGCGTTTGAGAAATCGATGGTTCCTTGATGAACTGCTGCGACGTTGAAATCGTCCTCGCCTCTTCTGAGCTGACTGATTACGAATACATGGAGGGGACGGACGACCCCCACAACATCCGAGGATGCAATACAATACTAGTACGGTACATTGAAGACATACAAATAGATAGACTAAAGAGGTAAAGTTGGTTTTTGTTTTTCATTTTGGATTCTAAGTAATTACAGTATGATGGTTAGTTCACAAGAAGCAAGCAAGATTATTATTTGTACATTGTCCCGCCCATTCGAGCTATATAGTTGCTCAAGTTGATTATTGATTGCTTAGTGCTTCTTTGGCAGTGCCATGGCGTTTTGGTAGACCGAAAGGAACGTCTTTTCATCCGTCACCTGGATGAATCCTTGAATGATCATTGCCTGCAAGTCGGCCTTTTGAGAGAGACGACGGTGTTCCATTTGGCATTCATTGACGACGCGGCACCAGGCACGGAACAAGTTGCCATTTGACTGACAGCATTGCAAGTAGAACATGATGCGAGGAATGACATCGTCGTTCTTCTTTTGCGTTTGATGTGGTGGCAAGACAACAATTCCACCGAGGGGTCCCAATCGAAAGATTTCGCGTTCTTCATTGGAGAGTGGCTGCCAGTCCTTGTCACTCACCTTTGCTGCAACGGCATTCTCCACGAACTTTGGAATGGTGTAGGCTTCCACACGATCGTCAAACACTTGCAGGAATGAATGAGCGGGTTCGACATCGTACGTCTCTTCTCCATCACCGCTGTCACTGCTGGCAGAGGAAACTGCGTCGTCCACTTGCTGATTGTTGGTGTTGATGCTCGTCTGGTTGTTGTTGTTGGCATTGGCAGTCGGTGTGCACTTGTTCGCCTTGTTGCCGTCCTTGGTCGACGCCCAAGAATCATCGTCATCTTCTTCATAAGCGAATCCCAACTCAATGTCGGAAGCTTCCAATCGAGCTACCAATTCTGCCTTGCGTCCTGACACCTTCAATCCACGCAGCTTGAGTTCTTCCTTGAGATTCTTGACGGTGAGCTTGTTCCACGAGAGATCAGGGCAAACATTCCCAAAGGGCTTTTCTTCTTCCTCCGCAGCCTGTTCGAATGTGTCCGGCACAAAATCCACCACTGGAATCTCCTGCTCGTCGCTCGCCGGCTGATTGTTGTGGTTCATGGCGTACTCATCCACGTCTTCGCCATTGTCGTCCACCACAAGGCCAAAGCCGTCTTCTTGCGTTTCCACAGGAAAAGAAATGGCACCGAGCGACATGAGAGCAATGGAAACATCGTCACTTTCTCCATCACTACTGTCACTTACCACATGCAAGTCCTCGTCGTCATTACTACGGTACACACGTCCAGGAGTGGCAATCAACGCCATGGCAATATCAATCGACGCTCGGTTGTTCATGTCAAAATCGGAAAACGAAAACATGCCGCTGTTGAGACTTTCCATGGAAGGGGAACGGCGGATCGATGCAGCAGCGCTCAAAGGTGTCATTGTCATTGTGTCGATTGATACAGTAGATAGGTATAGAGATCGATGCAAAGAGTTGTTGTAGCAGCAGTGAGCAATTCGTCAGACGAAAATTATGAGGAGAGCACTGCCGAAAAATGACGTGATGATGAGGAGTGACCAGTCCCGAGTTAGTCGTGGAAATCGATACACATCGAAGCAGTCGAATTTTCTCGTCGATTTTCGTCACAGCGTGTCGTGGAAGCTCTCCTCCCGTCCATTGTCGTCGTCTTCGGTTGACGACTGTCAGCCTTCTGTTGATGGCTCTCAGCCTTTCTGTTGATGGACGTCAAGTCCTTTTAGGAGTCTCTTGGAGTGCTTAGAAGTCTTTGGGGGCTGGATTCGAGCTTGATTGGGTTGAAATTGACTTGGTGGATCATATCGTTCGTGGAGCTGCGAAAGAAAGGTCGGAAAGGCGGTTCGAGAGACCGAATGACGTTCTTGGGCTCTCTGCGGTGCTTTTCAGGTCGACAATCTCGATATCTACCGTACGCATGCATGATGGGGATTCTTGGGCTGGAGCAGTGAACGTGTAGTCGCTCGGCCGAAGGAGAGGATCGCAACAGTGTCTGGTACTAGTAGTACCGATCGCCGCCATGGCTGCCGCCGACAACATGAGCGATGCTCAAGCTCGTCGCTCCTTGTCCCTTGTTCGCGTCGAGTAACAGTCGATTGACAACGTGATCACGAATTTGGACGTTCCAGAGTACGACGACTTGTAGTTATGATTGCCGTCGATGTCGGCCATGCATCCCTCGCAAGAAACAGTTTGCTTCGTACTCGATCAATATGCGACGATGATTGAATCATTCATTTGGTCGCCTGCCCGTCACAGCCAGAGTACGGTACCGTACGAACCATGGACAGCAAACGTACTGAGCTAGGAGAAGGACGGGATGAAAGGATAATTCGCGTGAACTATCATGAATACGTTACTTTAGAATTTTTGATAACTGCCAGTCCTACCGTACAGTACGATTTGGTTACATCTTTGGCCTCGGTGAAACTTGTAATAATATCATCCCCATTTGATTTTTGTTTCTTCGTCGACTGCGTAATTTATTCTTGGCGCGTTGCTCTCAGAATTCGTCTCCGCCACCAACTAGCGGAGCGGTTCTCTCCAAGATGGACTCCAAACTTTCCATCTCATCGCCACTGTCGGCGTCATTGATGTCATCCGTGTCAGCCGCAGCCGTCCAAGATCGGTACCACAGAAACAAAGGAACGGCGACAAAGTGTGCAAAGACAACGAACAATCCTGCATTGCGAGCCATTCGCTTCCAACGCTGCTCCGGAGGGACAAAGCACAGCGCCACCAGCCGACACGCGCAAAATCCCTTGAACAAGTACCAGACAATCCAAAAGGCTTTGCCCAATACTTGCAACAAGAAATAGAGCAATACGACATTCAACAAAGTTGCGGCATGCCAGCATTTGGTGTAGGTGGCCAGATCCGACGGCCATTGGGTCACATTGGGCAAAATGCAACGGAAGGATGACAACGTCAACGTCATGCCTCGATTGAGCAATCGAATGGCTCGTCCGACCCGCAACTTGGAAACAGCCATGAATGCCGACGCGGCACAGTTGCATGCCACCATGAAGGACTGTTTCCCTCCATTGCCGGGTTCGTCCAACTCGGTTCGCGACAGCCGGAGACCCCAATCTTCGTCCATTTCCAAATGTTTGACCAGTAGATTGCGCAATTCGGTTTGCATTTCATGAGAGACCGTGTAGATGGCCCCCGAATGGTTGGGTAGATGTGTATTCTCGGGATCGGCAATGACACTGGGCAGGACACGATGTAACATGGCGTGTAGTTTTTGGGACAACCCAATGTTCGCCAAGCGGCGTGCGGGCCACGTCAAGACGGAGGAATTCTTGTTGTTGCGGTTGTTGTTGTTATTTTTGTTGTTGTTGTTGTGTGGCAGTTTGACCTTTTGCAGTATTCCCCACTGACACAGATGTGCAATTCGCTCGGTACTGGCGGCGTCATTTAGGAGGAGTTCTTCCGGAATGTATTTGGAATCGGACCATGCCAACGTCAAGAGGTAGACTCGGTAGTTTCCACCGTCGACACGGCCAATGTACCAATGATATTGATGGGCATTGGCAAGGACCAAATGAGTCCGCTGATAATACGGTAGTTTTTTCTTCTTTTTCGATCGCGTTTTCTTTTCCGTCAAAATGAGTAGCTTTTTACAACGAGGACATTCGCCTACCAAAGATGATTTGGATGCCAAGGGACCTGTTGTGCCCACGTGCATGGAGCGGTCGTGAGGGACCCCATTTCCAGTCCGTGCCATGTATTGAACGACGCATTTTTGGCAGAATCGCGTGGAGCTGGTGGCTTCCACACTGGTTCCTCCGCAACAAGGGAGAGTGACAAACTTTCGGGTTTTGGTTTCGGGTTCCAAACAAATGGCGCAGGGACTGGCCATGGGATCCAAAGCGACTTCCTCCTCTTCCTCTGGTAAATAATTGTCGTCATCATCTTCGCTCAATCCAAATCGCGCCATCCAGCATCTTGGACAATTGCAATCACTATCGTCGTCTTCCTCTTCGTTGGGATCGTCGTCCTGTTCCACCACATTGGTCAAGGCACGAAAGAAATCCAACAATCCTGCTGGCATGCCTGGGTGACTGCCGTGGCTGTTATTGTCGTCATCGTCGTCATCATCTCCATCTTCTTCGTCCGTATCCTCCTCGTCAATCGAAATATCTCCATAATCTTCTTCCAAATCCTCCAAAACAAATGCGCTGTCATCGTCGTCGTCGTCATCATCATCCGAATTATTATCACTGTCTGAAGACTGAAGAGCCGCAAAACGATTCGCATTTCCACGGTCATTGTCATCGTCTTCTTCCTCCTCTTGCTCTACTCCTTCCATCCGCAACGCATCAATACCCGCCGCGGCAGCAGCAGAAGTTTCCGGTGTCAAGAGCCGTTGCAACACCATGGGCTTGGGATCCGGAGCAGCAGCGTCCAGCGCTGTGGGTGCGGGACTCCCACTAGTGCTTGCCGTCGTGGTCTCTTCCAGTGGAGGCATTTCATCGTCAGTCTCATCGTCGTCATTGTCATCGTCATCGACGAAGCGGAACGGAGCAGGGGTTGTCATGGTCGGAAATCCTAAAAATGATTTTGGTCGAAAAGCGAGGGGCGGACGCAAAAGCATTGGAGTGGGTGGAACGCTAGGGAAAGTTAGTTAAGGTTGAGGTTTATCTGAAGATCTGAACATCTGAACATCCAACCTGCCGCAACGAGGATCCTCCAGCCTCCAGTTTGCTCATGAGAATGGATGTCCATGGGACTGTCACTCAAGGACGTGCACCGATGCTGCCAAGCATGGACATTTCGGAATTCTGAAATGTGCACATGAGCAAGGGTGTCAATGGGATGCTGAAACCTGTGCATGTGCCGCTTGGTTTGGATACTTGGGAGATTCTAATGTGGGCCCATGAACATGGCGCTCCCTGGGATACCAGGACATGCACCCTAGCTGCTGAAAATGGACACTTGGATGTTTTGCAATGGGCCCTTGCAACTGCCCGTGGGGTGTAGGTACAATGAGAGCTGCTAAGAGGCGCACTCTGATTGTGGATTGGTGCCTTGCGAATTGCTGCCCTGGGAATCTATGAATGTAGCTCAGCATTGGAACTCTCTGTGTTGCCCTATACTTTAAAAATGTTTCGAATTAAGCTATCATTATTTTGAGTGCACCCACCGCGATACCGAAGCAACGCGCGAGCAAGACAAGTCTCTCAGACTCGACTCCGTTCAGATCGCTTCGATGTACCCCGACCATGCGGGTAGATTGTAGCGATGGGTGAGACGCTAGGCTTCGCAGCCGCAACCTTCTCCATTACAACCATCCAGTTGACCGGGCGTCCGCCAACGGTGTCATTGGTGGATTGGTGGGAACCGTGGCGTGAACCCATTTGCTATAACTTGTCCCCAGGAAACCGGTATTGTCCAGTCGACGTCTCATATGCAGAGGCTAAGACAATACCGGTACGGGTCAAAGCCACCAACTTCGCATCTTCGTTTTCTCTCGTCAAGCTAGAAGCACAGCGGTAACATACAGACAAACCAGCTTGTGGTGACCAATGAAGACAGCAGCTCGACGCGAAAAGCGATTGAAGAGGGAGTCGGTTCCATGGTGGAAGAATCGTTCACGCCTTCATCGGCAATAGGTGGCTCATTCATATCGCCCTCTTCAAGGGATGACTCTATGTTGATTAGTGCGCAATTGCTGATATTCCCTCCTGGAATGCAGTCCCCGTTGCTCTGGGTAGTGTTATCGATCCCAGTTGTATCTGCACTCACATCAGATGATATGCCAGCGCCAAGACCGCCTCCCGCATCAGATGACGTGCCATCGCTATTGACGCCTCCCGCCGCATCAGATGGTATGACATCGCTGCTACCACCGTTGCCATGGAATACACTGGTTGTGTCGCCCGCCATCAAACTACCACCATTGTCAAGGACTTGTCTGTACTCATCAGATATCTCTGGGGCTGCTGTCCACGGCAATTCAGCATCGCAGTTCACCGTATCAGTTTCGTTGCAACACGGGTTGGCAAACCAATCGCAGCTTGGCAGTATCATTGGCTCCTCACCGATCACAAGGTAGCATTCCCACTCGGCCGCCACGGGTACCGTGAGGCCGTCAGGACTCTTCAGCTCTCCACCAGGTGGAGCATTGCCGGTTGTGATCTTTTCAACCGGTATTTGTGGATCCAAATTAAAGTCATCTGAGATGTATGTGACTCCAGCATCTGTACCTAGATCCCAAGGATACGTCTGAAACTTGATATGATCGTACCATGTTCGGGAAACCTTATCAGTCAGGCGAAAATGATACAGTCCAGTGTACCAGTCAGGGCTTGGGCTAAAGCCAGACATGACGGTCAAGAATAGGTTCTCCGTGTTGGCTTCAATCGGAGGCAGGTGCAAGAAATTCCTCTCTGACACATAGAAGCCACCATCTAGATTCTCCGACCACCCATAGGCTTGCATCTCATCCTGCGCTACGGCTGTACTTCCAACTCGGCCAAAAGGGGATCGGTGAACCCATTTTCGACAAAAATCTCAGCTCCTTCAGAGGCAATCTCGAAGGCTCCCCACGGCTTGAAGTTCGTGGTACCTGTGAACATGATAGGCCCTGTCCTTCCCCCACGTTCTTCGGGGAAATTTACGGGCTGCCTTTCCTTGGTCCAGAGATTTCGAAAAGTGCATTGATAGGATATCTTTGAACTGGTAAACTGAGAGGTTACTCCTTTGTTCGTGACTAGAACAACTTCCTCATCCCCCGCCGCGTGGAGGCACTTTGGCAGCAACCACACAACGATGAACAAAGCCCACGAAAACTTATTCGACAACTTCATCATGCTGCACCGATATTTTTTCTAGCTCGAAGCGGGGGATCTCTTATGACAATGCCATCGATCGGGCCGAGAAGATGAGATTGGAGAATGAGCCGAAGACAACCATTGAAGGCGCATCGGACTGAATCGAATCTTCTGGCCAAATTTGAAGGCAAAGCCCGTGAGCAACTTTGGTCGCCTAAAACGGCCTTGGCAGCACCAACGCCACATCCAGCGCACAACAAACTCACGGCTGCATGTATAATACTGTAGTAGCCCCCAAAGCATTTTGGTTGCCCACGCAACAACGGAGGTCGATTTTCTTCCAAAAAGTTATGGGTCTCGGAGAGCGATCCTGAAGCTGAAGATGTGGGAGTCGATTGAAGCTGTGCGCACCATAGCGCAGTCTTCATCTGCATGTGATGGCACCGCCTGGCCAACTCCAACCTCGCATACATGCTCTTTAAGCTGGGTTCGTTCGTAGTGAAAGTGGCCCGTGCAGCATGCAAAGCGCTTCTTATGAATCCTGATTGCTGTTTTGTAAGCAACCCAGCTCGAACTGCCAATCGCTCTGAAACTGTAACACCGCTTGGAGCCTGAAATGACAAGCGCCCGTTCCTTAGTGCCCATCGTTCGGCTTGGCCATAGTTGTGCTTGATGCTAGCTACGGAACTTCCTGCGTCGCCGGTCTTTTCCTCGTCGTCATGACGCAACCTTCTGAGAATAACTTGCTCCTGCGACGCTGAAGCGTGGCTCTCGCCGTCTCTCCCGCTCTTTTGGTTTGGAATTGTCGGTTGTAATGTCGGCGCCACTGCCGCAAACAGTGACCTGTCGTTCACCGCGAGGGTACCATGTGCGGGATGACGTATGTTCGAAAATCGACTAAAAGTGTTGCAAAAAGGCGCTTCTTTTTCAGATCATCATGTTTTCGTTTTGCATCAATTCCAATTCTTGTTCCATGAGCAATACCAATGCCCTCAAGTCGATTCGGTTATCCATGGTCTGAGTGGGCAACCAATGAGTCCGCAAATGACTTAGATTGTTGAACAAGTCCCAATCCAAAAAGGCGTAGGAATGAGTGGGTCGTCCATACTCGACTCCACCATGTTCCAGATAGTACAAAATCACAGTGGCACCCTTGGGCAAGAACATGGCCGTGACGGCTCCCCCACCACAAATGGTAATGAAAAATGCTGCTTCACTGGCAATCTGCACCTGTTGTGGGACGGTCAAATCTTTCATGACGTAGGATTCCACGGAAAGGATGGTCGGATCAAAGTTTTCTCGCAGCGTATTGATTTGCTTGACAAAATCCAAATCGCGACTGCCGATATCGGAGGAACTGACGGAAAAGACCACCTTGAATGGTTGTTGTTGGCTGGTGACAGGTTGGAGCGGCAAGCCTAGATTTTGGAGCATAAAGTTTCGAAATTCGTACAACAGAGCTCCGCGTCCGTGATTGTGTGTGATTTTGTAGTCATCTCGAATCCAGCCATGCAACTTTTTGGTTCCGTGGTCCGTGAGAGGTCCCAATCCCGCCGCTCCGCGAGGAGCACAGACATAGTTGGACTGTGGTGATGATTGCGATTGCTGTGATGATGACGGTACAAAGTGAACGGTATCCGTGGTGGTCCAATTGTAGGGATAGTCCTTTCCGACCAAGAGGGATGCAAACTTGAGTGTCATTTTTTGACAGAGATGTTCATTGTGATCCGACATTTCGCAAGAGGACCATAGTTTGATGTGGTTGAAATGAACTCGGAGGGGAATCAGGACTCTGTTTTGTAGCTGAAACATTGTGAGCAGCGTGTATATGGGTAAAAAGTCATCCCAAACCAAATGTCCTGGATTCTTGGCGGCCAAGGAATGGTAGGGCACCAACACAGTATTGGCGGGCAAGGCATAGTATTGCATGGAATTTGTGGCATTGAGCACCCGTGGGAACCACTTGAATCCTTTCGACGATACGGGTGTCTTGATATCATAGTTCCATTTTTTGTTGATTCCTCCCAACGCCACGGCCGTGGTTTCATTGAATTTGCGATGCATGATTGACGAGACACTCATGGCAGGACGAGCTTGCAAGAACCGATTGAGCACTTGTTCTCGATAGGATTGAAAAATGACAAAATCTCGTTCGGCCAAATCATAGCACAACATGGAAAAGTGACACGATCGTTGCAGCCAGTCGTCATCGGGTTGATAATTGTCGCCGACGCAATGGACGCGAGAGTAATGGGTGGGTTGCTGTTGTTCGTTGTCGTCAATCACGCGCAAATGCACGGGGAATCCATTAAACGTGCCATCGGGAGGTTGGGATTCTTCGGCGTAGCGCTTTTGCTGCTGGTTGCCATTGCTATTGCTAGCAGTATGACGCAGCTGGGGTAAGGATGCCGGTTCCATAGGTCGCCACTGGGGTGGCTCCTTCACATAGGCATGGATGGAATCGGCATCCAGCACGAGGGATGCCAGAATTGGAAGCAGCAGGATGCAGCAACTGAAGCATAGCACTGCATATAAACATTTCTTCACACTCAAGCCTCTTCCTTTTCGTGTCGTGCCTCGGTGAGTGGAGTCTATAGACACCATCCTTTCTTACTAGTATCCCTGGCGCCCTTCTCTAACGTAGCAACCTGAATTCACTTGGTCCTTCATCATCATGGTTGCTGTCCAATTTTGAGCGAGAAAAGACATTCGGTTTTTTGTTGCCAGAATCGAATGCGAGTCGATTCGATTCGAATAGTTCGAATTGGATCCAAAGACTCAGCCACTCTCACACACTTCGCCATTCATCATTCTGCTACTTCATAGATCTACTTCTACTATAATAGTACTCTCATTCTTCTCCTCTGTCCAAGTTCCATCTCTTTATCTACAAGAACTTACTTCGGAACAGGCCAGCCACATCATGAAGATCCCTCGGATTTACCAGTGGCTTTTGCCCTTATTTGTAATCTTATTAGCATTTTCTGCGTCGTCAGCATCCACAGAAGACGAAGACGAGCAATTGCTTCGAGAAACCATTGCGGCAGGACGAGGTCACCGCGATGAACAGGGCGTCCGAGACCAGTGGGCTTCTAGCGAACATCTCAAGGATAAATTCGATTCGCGACGAAAACCCGTTTCACCCAGAGTGAGAGCTTTATTAGAGTCATACCGCTTGGAGTGCAAAGGTTGCGATGAAAGCGAAGCTGTGGCAAAAATCAACGCATTTGTCAAGGAGACCAAGCAGCAAGTGGAAGATCAAGCAAAGCGTCAGAGGTGGTTAGAACGAGCTGCAATGTTGGTAACTGTAGTGGTCCTCGGGGGTCTTGCTTATCAGTATTCGATTGGAGCTTTTGATGCAGGCGGTGGAAGCTCGGGATACAGCATTGGAGGTCGCCCCAGTGATTGGATGGGCCAAGCACGACGTCTGCAAATCGAAGAACAACGCCAACGAGCTGCCAAAAAAGAAGAGGAAGCTGCTAAGATACTTGCGGCGGCCCAAGCCAAAGAGGCACCAACATGGCGTGAAAATGAAGAAAAGGAGGTGTGGACCGCAAAACAAGAAAGGCAATTTGCCAAGGCTCTGGTGTCCTTTGGTGGTGTGCCCCCCAAAGGTCGATACACTCTGATTGCCAATAAGGTAGACGACAAGAGTCGACAAGAATGCCTGATGCACCACAAATTGTTGCAATTGATTGCCAAAGAGCAATAACATCCTGTCTGATGATGACAGTCTGGCTCGATGCACAACCGGCTAGACTAAACTATCAACCACCACAGACAACAATAATTCTACCAGCCGCTAAGGAGGCCAAAGGAGACCGATGGATGGCTACTGAAGCGAGCGGTTACTACACGTAGTACATGTACCGGTACGATACAACGTCATCCAGAGCGCTTGGGAAGTCTGCATGCATTTTTCTAGTTTTCTGGTTTTCAGGTACGGTACCGTTAGGCTCCAGGTGGAGTCTTCATGCCACAGAATGTATCTTTGGAAGCAATCTTCGAAGCGCAAAACTGCCACAGCAGAATCGAATCGAATCATAATACATCCTTGTGCTACAAGTTCCACCGCCTACTACTCGCCACTCAACAACTGGATCGATCCAACCACTGGCTGGATTCTGGTTAGAAGGATGACTCGTGAGTGGAAGTCCCAGTGAGTCCCTGTCCAGTTGTACTATCACGTTTGAACGGAATACCACTGTTTAATCATTTTCAGCACAAAAGCCAGTGAAAAGGAGTATAGTACAAGCATAGAATGAAAACTCAAGTGTCAAATCCAGTTGTTGGGTTGCGAGTTTATAATATGTTCATCATTCAATAGATGCAGTCTCACGAGCTAGCGGTACCTTGGTAGCTACGGTACTGAGTAGTACTGTGGAAGTGGTGGCTGCCCAGAGTCGAGTCGAGTCGAGTCGAGTCCAGCTGAGGGAATCGAATCGAATCGCATGAGAATCGATTCAATCGATTAGATTGGTCCCACTCAGCACTCAAAATACACATTCCATCAATGACTGGGGCACCCCCTTTAATTATTTGGGGGAACAGAGGACAGCCCGAGTGACTGACAGAGTGACAGCCAAACAGCTAGCCAAACCATGACAACAATCAATCATTAGGAGCTGATCAGGCCGGAATGATCTTCGGATTACAGTCCTTGGCTTTGTCCAACCTGCGAAGACTTGGTCTACTTCTCTCCCCAAAAGACGAGGTATGCTACATGTACCGGTAAGGCCAGCAGTGGCATCCATTGCCACTGAGGAGGCCAAAGGGGAGCGATGACTGGCTGCTGAAGGGAGCGGGTACCGGTACTAGTACATGTACATCCACAGCCCTCGGGAAGCATAGACTACATGCATTTTCTAGTTTCTTGCTTGCCCCAGGCTACAGAATGTATCTTTGGACGTACATGCATACATGTACAGCAACCATCGCAAATCTAAACAACTGCCACAACAGAATCGAATGATGAATCATAATACATCCTTATGCTTAGGAGTTCCGCCGCCTACGGTGGTACATGTTCATCATTCAATAAAATTAATGATAGATGTAGTCTCACTAGGTGGAAGTGGTGGTTTATACCATACCTAACTAGAGAGGGGACCCTCTCTTCCCAGTCATCTGCAGGAGGCATAAAAGGACGGGGTGTATAAAGCATGCTTCACCTCTATTGAAAGAACCATCAATAGCAGAACAGACGGACGAATAGCTATGTTGTTTTTACCAGAAACAAAAGAAGAGCTGTGATAGGCGACAAATAGATGTTCTACTACTAGCTAGATAGATGCATCTGCTACAGAAGGCTTTGTCAGCAGACAGCAAGAGTGCCTCTGCCACTGACCCGCTTGGGGGGGGTGACGGGTATGGCCACTGGCTTGCAATACAGGCAGCTGCTGAATGCTGAATGCTGAATGCCACCATGCACGTTTTTGGCCAGTAGCCAGTAGCAGTCAAACAAGCAAGGGGGGAAGCCAGACCCACCGAACAAGCTCTGATCATCAGCGATCAGCGATCTGAAAAGAGAAGATCTTTGTTCCAAAGACTTCATTGTCTTAAATCCTACTCGAGTACTCAGAGTAGTTGTTTCTCTTTGGACATTGTTGCATTTAAAGATCCATCTTGGCAGCTAACCATTCTGTATCTACGCGAATGTCGCACAATCTTGGAATATCACCTTTGACGACCAGGATGACCGCGTGATCAAAATTTACTTAAACCTGTCTCACTTCGAATCTTGAGAGGAACACAACGGATTTAGGAGGAATGTCTTCTTTAAAGCTAGCCACAAACTCACTTCTATTCGGCCATTGAATATTTGAATGACAGAGCCACAGGATGGGGCACTGGGTGCTTGGTTTGTGGATAGCCTCCAAGTTTGCAACTGCCTGCCTCTCAAAGCTTGAAGGATAGCTTCTTTTTATCTGAATAGAAGGCCGACCCACTGCATAGTTCTCACAATCCTACTTGGGCGGATACCTCTCCAAAATTTTGAACACACACACACACATAGATGGAACTACGAGATATGCAGCGCCCCACCATTGCCACTAGAGATCCTTGGGACAAACCCGTTAGCATACCAGATCCTCACGTTGCGGTATCTCGTATGAGTGATACGTCTCGCAGGGGAAGAGATATAGATGCCATGGGGTACAGCAGTCGATCCAATGATGGCGGCGGCAACAAGGGTGTGCCGCCATCTGGCTGTGATTCTTCCGCCTGCACGGATACCAGTCGCAATCTCTTTCGTAACTTTCATCGTAAGTGCAACAAAACATCAGGATACCGAGAGCCTCTCTGCACCTTTATCTCATCCGTTGGCTGTCTTTGTCTTCTTCCTTATCCATTGTGCAACCACAGGGAGTGAAGAGGCTTTCTACAGCAATGTCAGAGCCGCCACTGTGAGCCCCGGCTCCACACCCACACAAACGGCTGTCCGTCGTCGCTCCTACAGAGGGACCACCGTCCCACGCCTTCCTCCTCGTGTCACCAGTCTGGATAGTGCCATCACAGAAGACAGTTTTGACGAAAACGTTAGATTCGACAAGAGCATGACTGGGAGCAGCCGAAATATTAGTAGTAGTTTTGGCAATGATAGCAGCATGGACTACAGCCGCAACGTGCAACCAACCACCCGAATAACACCCACACAGACAGCCATGCGCCGTCGCTCCTACAGCCGGCCCATGGCTCCTCGCCTTCCACCTCGTGTTACCAGTCTCGACAGTGCCAAGAGTGATGGCAGCAACGATAGCGGCAACAAACATCAACAACAACAACTAGACAGAAGCATGGCGGGTAGCAGCCGAAATATTTGGGGCAATGACATGAGCATGGAGGGCAGTAGTGGTCTAATGGTGATGGATCAGAGCAGCAACCGAAACATTTCCGCCAAGGCATTCAGTACGGCCAGACGCATGGCAGAAGCACACCGGCGGCAGCGCAACAAACGATGGGAGCGAAAGCTCTGTGACGCATCCGAGCGGTCCGTGGGACCGGAAGTGACATCTCCTCACACATCGAAACGAAATTTAATGGCAGATGAGTCTATCGAGAAACATCTACAGGATCAACAACGTCGCAGCGATGATTCCATCCCCCCTCATGTGGATGTCATGGGATGCAGTAGCAGCAACAACAACAATCACAATTCCATGTCCACGTTTGGAGGATTGACTTGTGCGGATTTGGATGATGACGAAATCACCTTCTACAGTCGATCCCCAGGAAGCCTGCCAGCACGCAACAACACGTGGGCGCACGAAAAGTCAGAAGAAGAAATGCCAAGGTTGCAACCCATGTCGGAGGCAGAGCAACGAGCTTCGAGAATGCGAAGGTCTTCCTTCACATCCAACAGAGACGGCCAGGTACTAATGCCACCCCAAGAGCCGGAGCAACAAGCCTCCAGAAGGCGCTCCTCCACCAGTCTCTCTGCAGGTAGCAAGGAGGGCCCGGTGCCTACGTTTCTGGACAAGAGCTATCTCAGGAACCTTGCTGCCAGGCATCGAAACAGCATGTATTCCAGGAGTGCCAGTGGTGTCGGCAGTGAAGGAGGAGGAGATCGCTATGGCGGCTCTCGATCCAGTACACCTGGCGCTGTCTCTCCTCCTGAGAGCCCACCGCAGCCACACCACCTGCGTCCTCGTCGACCATCCACGTCGTTCCGGAGTCAACCGCGCCCAACCCAAACACGACGTCCCAGTCTACCCATGCAGCAGCAGCATTCGCCGCCGCCCCGAGACTACCACCACAACGACGGATACCCAGCTCAACATCAACAGCGACAGCCAGAGCAACCACAGCCTGGTATGATCGAGATCTGCCCTGGATTGAGTGTTCCACTCCGGGGATCCGACGAAACACGCAACGCTGTAGCCAACAAGTTTTATGCCACCAACATTTTGTGCTTTGGATGTGCCACGGAAATCTGCACCATTGCGGATGTCCAGTACACGATCTGCCCTCACTGTAAGATCATTAGTCCCGTCGAGGACGACACGTTCGATGGCGAAAAGTTGGAATATCGATGGGGTCTGGGCTTGGGCTTTACGAGGGATGATCTCCGAGACATGCAAGCGGAGATTGCGGCTGCAGCTTTTGCGTATTGATTGATTAGCATAATTTATAAAAGAGTACCGTTCTCTACCTTATTAGAACACGAACGACTTTGACTAGCTAGATCTAGCCTGAACTGGAATTGTGAAACTTTGAAGCTTCGTTTCCGTTGGTTGCGACTCTTGCAAAGAAACATAGCAAAGGTTTCAATTCCAAAGAAACATAGCAGAAAAGGCGGGCGATCATGACACGTACAGTCGTAGATCATCAAGCGCAAACCCCTCGAACAGCAGGACTGGAGAAATCCTGCAGGGTGCTGTGGCCTGCTGGCGCCTGCTGGCGCCTTTGTTTCAAAGTCTGATTACTGTACCTGACGAACTAACTAACTACCCTTCTTCATCCCCTTCCGCCAATCTATGGTTTCCCGCTTTCGAAGGTGCTCGGATATTTTCGCGGCGTGTCTTTGTAACTTTTTTCTTTCGTTTGTTTGCCCCCACTTGGTTGAAAAGTGTGTCTGCTTCGTCGAGTGACTGCGAGTAGGCTGGTGGCAAGGCAGGAGCAGCGTTGGGTGCGGGATGGAACCCTGTAGTGCCGCTATCCACAACGCAGTCATCGCTAGCTGGGAGCTGTAATGATTCCAGAATACCCCGCATCTGCTGGATTTGAAAGTTTTGCCCGTTAATGATTCTGGATGCAGAAAAATAAGACATGCAGTTGCAAGTTGAGTTGGCTGATACACTGCGCGCGGTCTCCTTTGCGCCACGAACAACAAACTTACTCATAGAGGATCACTTGCATAGTGCACAATGGATCATCTTCATTTGTCAAATCGTTGCACGGTGACTTGCCAGTGATGAGCAAAGTTTTGGCCATGTTGACAGCATTCTGGTGGTGGGGAATCATTTGATGGATGAACAGCTACATCATGTTTGTTGATAAGTCGAGTGAGAAAGCCGAAGCAAGGATTTAATCAGCGCGGTGTATGGGTGCAATGAATTGGCAATTGCTGCCGCAAGGCGCTTCCTGTTGTTCTACTAGTACGTACCGCGACCTCACTTCGACTCGATACCTTCGTCGTCATTCCTGCGAACATATGGCTGTGAGACACGAAAACAGCGATGAATGTGAGCCGTACCGTATGCTGCTTTTTTGCGTCCAGGGGAATCATCGTTTCCAACAGACGTCGTCGTGACGGCTTTTTATTCACTCACCAGTTCATTGCCTCGATGCAGGAAGAATAGGTTTGAATTTCCGGCGCGGCATCACAAACGAAGGATTCTGGACAATTTGGATTGGGGAGCTGATGAACGGTAGTTGTTTAGTTGAGTGAGTGAGAGGTGCCAGTTCAATAATACGGAAGTGTGAGCGTAGGGTCTACATGTATGTAAAGAAGGTATGGCTACACTACGATGACGTACCGTCCAAGCATCGAGACCATATGTCCCGCATACTTGATCAAAAGCCCCTGGTTGGTCATATGTATAGCCAAGTTTTGGTTTGTCCCGCTGGGACACGAGCTGCCCATTCTGAGTAAGCTTGATCCGTCCTGCCATGAACTGGAGATGCAGGAAAACCGTTCTATGAGAGGCATGCCGTCATGATGATTGGATGCGACGCATATTTATTTTCCTTTACTCACCTGATGTATGTGGCAGAAATAGAATATATCTATTGCATGGGCAAAAGGCGGCAATCCACGTGAGACATGGACGATGAAAACCTGGACGCGAATGAATGATTGATTGACTGTGCATACCTTGGCCATAACTAGCATCGTCAAACCTCAGCTTAATAGCAAATTCTCCCAATGCGGCCCACTCGGGAAGTGGCCGAAAGAAGAGTGGTTCATAGTCATCTAGTCCAAAATTTTCGGTCCCCGTGGTGCGCGGTTTGACGGCTGGTATATTGCTGTATTCCCCAAGATATTCTCCGTTCAACATGTACATGGGTGCCGGACAAGTCTTGTCAGCCTCACAAGATTTGTCACTTCCAAGTCCCACACCAGGTTCCAATTCTTCCTTGCCATCGTGAGCCCCATCTGCAGAGTAGGAGAATCCCAATGGGTGAAAGTAGTTGCTTCGATCTCGTTGAATGAATGTGTACGTTTCTCCCATTTCCATGACGATTGTCGGGTTGATGACTTCACCACACTCTTCAAACATAAAGTATCCTAGAGAAAAATATATTCAATAGAAATATGGAAGACATTCGTTTGTTCACATGGAGCGGCCTCGTAATCGTACAGTATCATCAAAAAATAGAATAACCAACGTACCGAGTTCAGATGCGAACAGGTTCACGCTGACTGTGAACCTTCTCGTGCTGGAAACGCAGAATGGACCAGGCTGATCATCTTGTTGCGCCTCTATTACATGTTGTACTTGATGGACAAACAAGAACAAAACCAAACACAACCAGCGGCTCGATTGCAACATCATTCAAGCTTCGTCGACTGTCACTCGACAACCAAAATAGTGAGGAAAAGTTTTTAAAAAGTGGGGTGAAAAGCTCCTTCAAACTGTCACCTGCTGAAGATACTTAGAGCATTAGAAACAACGGTTACACTGTTATATTTTCTTGTGACCTTTTATCCGTGACTGACCTTGTATCCGTGACTGACAAGACATCAATGGGGTCACCAAGAGGGTCGGCGCGTCGGCGCCATGCAGATGCACGGAAGCCCGCCAGGGCTTCAGACAAAACACTTCCTTGTTATTGTGACACCCCTCTATCAACTCCCTCCACCAACTAACTAACTATGGATCCTGAAGGTTTCCAATATGGAAGCTCCACTGAGGAGGGATCAGACGCTGATGAAATCTCTGCTCTCACTGAACCTAGCGGTTTGGCTCCCAATTCCATCTCTGACGAATCGTCTGCTCTCACTGAATCTACCAGTATCGTTAATAACCCACCTGCAGAACAGGCAGTAGGCGGTGACTCTGGCAATGAAGCAGACATTGAGGTATATTCTGGCTCTAGTAGTGAATCCAGTAGTGGCAGTGATGATGATGATGATGGATACACAGAAGATCCAACAAATAGATTGTCACACAACCAAGCCACACGTAGTGGTGGGGTTGATTCAGGACGCAACAGTGATAATGGCCCCACCATAAATGAGCTTGCTGCGGATCTATATCATGGGCAGCATGATCCCTCCAGAATGGAGCTCACACAGGAAGAGCATCAGTGGGCCGTTGCCATCAAAACTGCCATTGAAAAAATCCCAGATCTTGACAATTTGTCAGATTTTGGGTATGCCCAGCTAGCCATTGTTTCTCATGGCGATGTTGACGATGCCGTTATGAAGGCGTACCGATGTCAAGAGTATAAGGAAGATAATGAAGTGATGGACACATTGGATGATGCACTGAGGAATTTGCCAAGATTTGATAACTATTTGCTCTCTTTTGACTACGATATTCAATCTGGTGGCTACATAGTTGCCGCTGATATGACAAAGACCGATGGAGCCATCTGGACGAATCCAGAGGACACACGCTACTACAACCGCAGGCAATTCTATGGCTCCCAAATAGCATATTGTGATTTGGAGGCACTCAGGGTTGGTGTTACTATTCTTGCTGAATGTGAGGGGTACCGGTTCCAGCTGGTCAAAGGAAGAAGAATGGACTTGACTGCATTTCGATCCATTTGGAGGAATGCGTTTGCATATCCAAGAAAACTGAATCAAGTCAAATTTTTTAATGCTCCTCCGGTCTTCAAGATGATGGTGTCAATTACCAAAGCAGTGCTGCCAACAGAAATCACATCTAAATTCCATCTAGTTCCCAAATGTCCATTGGGAAGACTGGACCGGCTGTATCACATGCCAACCCGAGAAATTGCATGCGCAAGGTTGAAAGAGCGTATGAAAGGGCTTCTAGCCAAACGATATACCAATGAGGCAAACTTTAGCCTCAATGACAATGCTCCTTTCTTGGAGGAGGCTTGAGTTCCGGATAAATGCTCTAATTTCATCAAAGCCAATCTTTCGCTCCAATAATAGAAAATGTCATGTTTTGGCGCACAGCGCCGAGCTCTGCACAACCTCCAGGAAGAAGAGATGGAAGAAATTAGGACCAGGTGAAGCAATATCCCATGAAGCAGCAGCAGCAGGACAGCTTGAAACTAATGACAATGCCAGTGCATGCCTTTGCAATAGCATTCCAACCAGTGAATACTTTGTCTACCATGGCTTCGATTTCGGTCCAGGATTGCTCCTGATATCAACACGAGTGTGGTTGGCTACCGGTAGGCATCCATCACCACAGAAGAGACTGTTGACCACTCCAGCCTTATTCCCAGCCGGAGCAAGATCGTCATCGAGTTGTTGTAAAGGCAATAATCATCCCTCAATTGTTCTTTCCTGGTGTTTTGGTGGTGATTCCTGTTTCGGCACCCATTTTATTCGCTGTTCGTGTAAGTTGGCTTCTCCAGCGCTGTCATCTCCAGGCTGAGCAAAATCGTGGTCGAGTGACGCTCATGCATTGAATAGCAACAGCCGCGGATGCTACACGGCAATTCACCAGAGAGAGAGAGAGAGAGTGGATCCTACTATTATGCATAGATTCATCCATCTTTGCTAGTGCCTTGGTGGGGTGATTCCTGTGTCTTATTCTCCTGTTTCCACAAGTTCTCGAGGACTTGGTGACTTTGCGAAGTCAAAGACTTGTAGTAATAGGTCACTAGCTACCTACCTAGCTAGCTAGAGAGTAATAGGCTGAGAATAGACCTGTACGGTACCTGGTAGCAAGAAGGGACCTGGCACGGTCGTCGGTGACACTGCCCTCCTCAACCAAAAGGACATCCTTAGCGTCACTTTTCGGAAGCTTGATCTTTCTCAGAAACGTGGCAATTTCTGTTCCGATCCTTTTCGAAGCATTTGCCTACTGGCTAGAAGATATCAATGATGAATCTTCTGGACGATGACATCGCATTTCTGGCTGTATGGCATCAGATCAGATCGGTAGCGGTGCCAGTAGGTTTGAATCGAAACAGTACTATCCACACAGTAAAATATATGTCCGGTGCAAAAGTTCAGTCATGCATGTACACAAATTTCTATAGTCGTGATGTTGCACCGAGCAAGTCGCGATAAAATGTGGGTTGGATCCATGGGATCAACGTGGTGAGTGTGAGAACAAACTGTCTGCCTTATGTTACTGGTACCCACATGGTATGTGGAACAAGCAAGAGAAATTCAAGGTCGCGGTCGCACCATTCGTGCATCTTGGAGTAGGCCTTGTTCTCCTCGAAACACTTGTCACCATGCTTGCTAATCGGAATCTGAAAAAAGCCTCCTTGCCATCAGCGTCAGTCTCACCTGTTGGTGTCGCAGAGACAATCTTGGCTCTTGCCTGCTCCCCATTGTCGTCCGGGTTGGTTATGAACGTTCGGTTGAGCAAACCTGACACAACAATGGTCGGTATTGTGCCACCTTGGAGAATGTCATCCTCTCTCAGGTTTGAGCTGATATCGTGCCGGGTGGCGTCATTGAACACTGTAGCGTTCTGGGTCTCCCAAGATCAATACCTCCTTCGATGGTATTTGAGGGTGGTCCGTCCACAAATGGCTTGGTTTTGGGCGCAAGCTTGGGTACCTGTGCATCCGCCTTCCAATTGGTGAATTAGTTGCCTAGTCTTGCTGTACTAGCGACAGCCCGATGGATGATCTTTTCGTCCTCAGTGAGAATCTTGTACGTCATGCCATGGCCGACATACTCTGAGACGCCAATGAACCTCCCCACACACTCTGTTGAGTCCTGTGGGAACTTTGCGTCATATTTCTGGTAGTAGACTGGTTCATAAAACTCAAATTGAAGGAGTGGAGATATGTCAGGCGTGTACCCATGCAGCCACTCAAAGGGAGTTCTCCAGCCAAGGATCTCATATGCCATATGATTCTGCAGGGTGGCCACGTACTGGCCAGCAGTCAGCCAACTCTTAGATGGTGCATTCTTGGTGTCAAGTATCAGCTGCGTCTTGGTCTTGGTATCTTTCCATCCGTGTTCTGCATTGTTCTGATTCCCTCTGTATGGTTCAGAGGTTCGGTCGTTGATGCAAAAGGTCCGTAGGATTTCCTTGACCCGTTTGCTTGCCTGGGCCTGGGCATGGTCGCTCCTGATGCAGTTCATTGCCCCAAACCTTCGGATGTTGTCTATCAGTGTCTTGACATAGCTTGCGTCTCTGGTGCCAGCGGGGTGTAGTGACCTGTAGTGGGATGTGCGTCCAATCAAGAACTGGGCTGCCACAGATCCATCATCAACCGCAGGAACATTGCCATAGATAGTATGTGCCACATGCTCTTGCCTCTCGGACTGTTGAGGATCGGGTTGGGTGATAGTATCTGGCTTCGGAGATTACGACCTTGGACAGCTCATTTGGTACCATACTGGGTAGTTGCATCCAGTGTTCGTTTGAGTGTTTCGTCACTAGTTCCCGGGAAGAACCGCCGCATCCTTGGAATCTGCTCAGGGGTCCGCTTGCGGGATATGGGGGGCAGCTCAACACCGGTGTGGTGCTTGGTCCTGTTGTTCGACTTGAGAATGTCTCCGTCTTCATCTTCAACGTCGATGGAACTGTCATCATCATCGCTTGTTAGTACTGTCTCAACTCGTGGTTGTCTGTCAACGGAGGACTGCTTCTTGGAGCGAGGTCGTCTAACTTCAGGCATCTTCCGAATCCTTTTCTCCCCATCCTTCGTTGGGTCAGAGGGGCGGTGGGGACGGGAACGGGAGCGAATACTTGGAGGCTCCCCACAAAGCTGTCCACGGGTTTGGACTCCAACACAATGGCGTAAGTCCTCAGTGTCGGAGTCAGAATCAGTACCAGAGGAGTCGGAGTCTTCAGGACCAGAGGAGTCGTCAAAGGGGTTCAAAAGGTCGGGGACACGGGCAGAGCACTGTCGGAGGTTGTAAATGTCAGAGTCATCCTCAAGTCAGAATCATCGTCGAGCTGATCATAATGAGGGCACTGTCGGGATAAGAGGGCGGGGACATCATCAGCACGGGCGGGGACCAGATCGTCTTTGACGAGGGCAGCCATGGCAGCAATAATACGGCGACGAATCAAGTGGAATGCTTGGTGGTGGCATGAGATGGGGTTAGGGGATCGTCATCCATAGTCTTGAGTCTACCCAAGCTGTCTAAAGGGGACTCTGCATCATCAAGGACGGTATTACTTTGGGTATCATACCAATCTTCGGACGGGACCGAGTCAAGGCAAGAGGGATCCCACGGGTGTTGGCTAGTCAAATCTATCAAAGGGATGGAGCATCGTCCATCTTGGCATCAGTCGTGGCCGCCAGTCGAACTCACGGAAGCCATTGCGCATAAGCCATTGGGACTCGGAACCATTGGGTGTGACAAAGTATGGGTCCACGCCAGTCACGGTCTTGTCTTTCTCATGGACACAACAACCAAAGTGCTCCATCTGACTGGGACAAGCAATGGTACGTCCATCATACATGACGGCAACCTGGTGAATGCGACCAAGGATGGGACCATGAACACTTCGCATGAACACAACCGCGGTAGCCAGCTGGAGGTTTCGTACTGTGTGGTTGTCAATACCATTCAAATCAATGAATGTACCAGATAAATTTACAACACGTACATCATTGCCAAGGATAAATCCATTGGCACATCGATCCATCAAGGCACACAAAAGTCGTTTGCGGTGATGTATGAAGGCTGAGTAGTACTATACACAAGGGTGGTTGGTAACTCCAGGACCTAAGGACGTTCCAACCCAGTCATCATCTGCGGAAGGTAGCTCCGCTGTGGGCTGACTGTGTGCTACCCCGCTGTCATCTGTCTCTGAATAGGTTCTTCGGCTAGACCAGCTTGAGACAAAAGCTAGTCGCCGAGCCGAAAATCCGCTCTATCAGGGCCAGGCTTGGAGGAATGGACAGCACCGGAGGCAATGTCTTCGACGTGGTCCAGCATGCGGTTGAATGCATGGTGGGCGGATCGATGGCTCGGGTGACTAGCAGCAAGGTTACCTTCACGTGTCTTGGGTTTGGTGCCCATCATTCGAGCTGGGTGTGCCGGGGGCAGGTCATTGGACTTGGACTGGGGTGCCGAGTGGGACGGACCAGCTTCAGGCTTAGCTTGTGCCTGATTGGCTTCCAGGTGTGGATGTTGTGTTGTCATCTACTTGGTCAGGGCGATCCTTCTCCTCATCTTGCTCTACCATTTCAGAAAGGTGATCCTGTCGTGCAGGTGGACCGGGCTTGGGTGGGAACTCCATCAAGATCTTCTTGGCCTGGGGTGACAGCCGGTGCCAGATGGACTGGTCTTCACGTGGGAGTTGGAGGAAGAAGAACTCCTCAGGCAACCGGGTGGTTGGGTCCCTGTTGACATTGAATGCATAAATGTTACCATCGCTGAGCCTCAAGGCTTGACCATCGCAGGTGTCGCTATCAAGGTCATGTCAATTGACAGACCGTCGGCGTGACGTTGCCCTGGTCCTGTCGTAGCTAGCGGTAGTCACCTTGATGACTTCGTATTACTCCTCGAAATTGTAACCTGGCTTGTGCTCCAAGGTCATGCGCTCAATCTCACTGGAGGTGACTGCATGGAGCAATGGACACATCGGAGAGAGCACGCTGGAGTAGTGTCTTTTTGGTTTCCTCAGTGATGCGCTCAGTCTTGGCTTTGACGGCGTCATTGTACCTCTTGAAGTTCCGATTGAACTTGACTAATAAAGTCCAGTGCGCTTCTTGGAAGGTGGGGCAAAGTGGCTGGTGTTAGTGGAGGGCACAGCTGTAAAGTTCTAGGCCTGCTCGCACACCAAGCCATCCACGGAAGCAATGAATGCATGCAAGGCGAAGTGCTGTCATGATGGCCTGGCATTGACATCATTTTGAAGTGCCTCTCCACGATCTCCTTGGCCATACGGTTCATCTTGGACCTTCTCTAGGAGGACGGACTGTAGAACGCTACGTCCTGCATCCTGTCCAATTCAGACTTGTCCTCCTGGGATTGTGGTTTATAGGTAACATCAATCACTTTGAGGAGTCCTTGTGCCCGCAAGGTCAACACTTGTGTGGGCAAACCAGTTGCCGACATGCGTCACTGCGTCAACACTTCGTCAGGCATCCCTGTCTTGCATGGTGTTGGAAACGCTCCTGAGTAGGAGTTTGTGGGTGGGTGCCAGAGCTTTCGCCCAGCAACCACTTCTGACTGCGAGCAGATCACTCACGGGATGCCATCCAAGCGGTCATTTCCAATTTGGTCACAATCAGTCTCACAGATCGTCCAGATCCGCCAGGAATAGGTCTTAAGGACACAGGCTCAGTGTGAAGGTCTAGTGTAATACTGTTAGCATCTCAGGTTCGTGCAGACATCGGCTATCACACTTGAACTCAAGGCTCAGGTCGTGGTCTTATGCTGGGACCAGATGGACGAGCATGCTGTCTGAGATCGTATGGCCTGTGTTCGGTTTGAGAGCCAATACGAGTGAATGGATAATAACCTATTGGGAAAGAGCGTTGACATAAGACGGTCTAGGGACGTCATTGCGGAATGCCCTATTAAGGTATCGTGGAATGGAGTGGTAGTTGATGTAGGGTCATGTAAGCTGACAGTGGGTTCCCCCGAACAAGCCATCAGGTAGTAGCCGAGACTCGGGCTTCCAACAGGGTTTGATTCCCCAGGTCACGGCTGTGCCAGGCTTGTAGAGGAACTGTCCATCGAGGTACTCCTCCATAATTGGTCTAGGGTAGCTCCTCGGTTCTCGCATCATGTGATGGGTATGGTCAGGGCAGGCCATGCCAGTAGCCTGGGGTCATCCTTGTGCGTTGGGAATGACATGATCTTGGCAGTATGCTGTGCCTTTCCAGATCTGAAGGGTTGAATGGTTGTCTCGTACCGAGTGTAGTGTAGGTGTCGTGGAGCGCTGCTGGTAGTCCACTGAGGTGTGTAGTAGGGACTCCCAGTCGCATCAAGGTAGCGGAAGAGGCAAGGTGACTATCCTACGCATTGAAGCTCCTGCCACGTATGCGCTCCCGTGGCAAGGTCAGAGATAGTCTTGCCTCGTTAGTCATCGTTGAATGGTGTCCGAGGGAGTGGTAAAGGGTGGAGGAGCCCCAGTGACTGGGTGTACTGGAGTGGGTTGGTGTTTTGAATGCTTCCTCCACCTATGGAGGAAACTTGGACAGAACCTTGGCAGGGACTGTTGGCAGGGTGGACTCCATTGCACAGTGAGGTAGGTGCAACATCAATGAAGTCAGCATGCCTCCTATTTCAAAGAACATCGCCTTCAGTCTGGTTCCAGGCATGTGTGTTGGGAGTAGAGTGCAGTGGGTCTCGTTTCGATGCCGGCCAAGGGGCTGTGAATCCGCCTTCTCTGCTTCCTCAACACCATTGGTTCTGGTGCTACAGGTCGGATTGTGAAGCCAAAGCTCGGTTCATAGAACCTATGGCTGATCTCCATGGAGTTCCAATGTTGTTGAGCCCTCGCATCTCAAGCTGATTGATGGACTCCTTCAGCTGTTGGATGGAAGAAGTCTCAATAAGGTCCTGGTGGCGCTCTCCATGCGCTGGTGAGAGTCGGCGACATCGACTTGCTGTGCCCTCAAAGCGGATCCATCAATCACTTGGCGCTTGCCAATGGCTTCCACAGAAGAGTGCTGCGCCTTCCATAGATGCTTGCTGCATCTCCAAACGCATAAGGATAGTTTGAAGCATAGCATCGGTGGTGGAAGGAGGTGTGTTGGCATCAGGTGGGAGCGATGGGGGATCCCTGTCCCATCATGGGTGGAGGAGCCACGGAACCATCAGCATCAACATAGGGGATGGGTGGAGGATGTCCGGGTGGCTTGGTTGCCACTTTGAAGTGCTCAAGCTCTGCTCTTGGCACTGCACCTCCTTTCCTCCTTCTCTTCTTCTCAGACTTATTCACCATGTTGATGCTTGTATAGTGTGCTGTAATAGACTGAAAGCTGAAAATCACCTGAAATGTGAGTCTATTCACGGGAACTCGGCCGTAAACACGTTATGCGCGCTTGTATAAGTCTTCGGAGGAATCTCTAAGTCTTCGAGTTGATCCGGAGGCTTCCAGAGATCGATCCGGTTTTCCGAGGGCTCCGTGGAACGCCGGTTTCCGATGACTTCGTATTAAGTCGCTGCCACGGTACGGAACTGTGAACGCCGAACAGGAAAACGTACGGACACTGGGAATGAAGACTGCACGGACACTTTCTCGTGGAATCCGAAGACTGCACGGACACTGGTGGCCTCGAAAACTGCACGGACGTTCGTGACTTCGAAGAGTTAACAGTAGTTCGGCCGTGACCGTACAATAACTCGGGAGATCGTTCCGGTGCTTCTATAACCGTACAGCGCCACCTCTGTAGTCGTTCGTTAAGCCTTTTCGTTCCTCCGTAACTTGACCTTTTCAACCTCACAAAGTCCTCGAAAAAGGGTGTTGCCTTGTCGGACGATCGATCGGTTCGAGTTTCGTGACTGAGGTTGGTAGCCGGCTCGATTCGGTCTTCAGAGCCTTGCAGAGTCTTGTTCTTGGGTAATTCAGACCCTGCGGATCCAATGGTGGCTCGAATAACAACAGAAATTGGCTGTGTGGATCAGTAGGAGTCAAAAGGTAGGATTTCTTGAGATCTCCAACTTGACTCGAGCTCTGATTCACTGGCCTGTTCGTCTGTAGCAATAGCTTCTCCTGTGATGTTATCTGCGACTGTTTAATCCAATAAACTTCTTGAACGGATCAGAGGTAGATCCACAAGAGATGAGGATGGCCACAGGGACCGCTTCTCGCTACATGAGATTCCCAGCTCCTGAGACTGGTACACGAGTTATAGTATCAACGATCTGGCAGCCTAGCGATGCTATGAGCTTACCTCTCAATGCCACTGCTAGCCTCCAACAGGATAGGTAATCTAATGCAAAGGGACCAGGGAGCTACAGTTCTATGGAGATGGTATTCATTCTTACATTCCATTCTTAGGACTCATGAGCAAAAAGCATGCATCCAAATAATTGGGGGTTATGCAGGATTTGAGCACCTGAGCCACACTGAGGCCTGGATCCTCCTGAGGTCACTGATGAGTAGATCGCGCCTCATGGCCATCTGGGGTGATACAGTGGTCAAAACCTTCATATGGGACCATATGGGGCTTCCCTGGTTCCATATGTATGGCCTGTGTCTCACCAGTACCGACCAAGATTCTCTATATCAT